GCAGCCAGGCATCGACATGCTCATGCCTGGGAGCAGTCAAATCACACAGAGAACATGGGCAGCCTGCAAATTCTTCCTTTCCTCCAAAGGGTCTGATACTGCTTTAGACACAGAAGAGGCTCAGATGCTTGTGCTACCGTGCCCCCCACCCCCACCCCCGGCCAAAGCCTACACATGCCTTTTGAATTTTTCCAGGGAGAACTATGGTTTGTACCAGGAATCAGTAAACTTCTATAAAGGACCAGGAAGTTAACATTTTGGTCTTGGTTAGGCTACAGTGTCTTGCTACCATGATTCCGTCTGCCATTGTATTGCACAGTCACAGAAAATACATAACCAAGTGAGGTTGGCTGTGTCCCAATAAAACTTTATTTATAAAAACAAAGCAGACCAGATTTAGCCCATGGGTCATAGTTTGCAAGGCCTGGGTTACACTGAGCCATCTCAACTCTACATACAAGTAAGGCCACAGGTCATCTGGCTTTGTCACATGGATCACAGCTATGATAAACAAATTAGGACCCAAACATTCATCATACACACACATCTAGCATGAATATTTTTTGCTTGTGATACATTTTTGGTCATTTTAATAATTCTATATAAAATCCTTATTTATCCAGGCATATTTATCACCAATTAACATTCATTATAACCAGTATATGCTTCCTGTTTTAGTTGGCAATTACTAAGTCAGAGATCAGTGGTAAGATTGACAAGAACTGTAGATGTTTGAAGGTCAGAAAGAATGCCAGGAGCTAAAGCAGGAGATGAAGACAGTGGTCTAAAAGGGAGAAGGGAGTCAGCCCTGTGGAATAAGAATGCAAAGCTCGCTAAGGTCAGGAGCTCCTTGTCTCCTGCCTTCCTCACAGCTCAGTGTGCTCTGCCTCTCTGGCTAGTCCTCTGATTAAAACACTAAGCAATAACTCAAACGAGAAAGAAAAAATGGTGACATCAGGACACTGAGGTCCCAAGTAAAGAGGAGTTCATTATAAAAGTGAGGGACGCACTGTGATGATGTCATCACTAAAAAGTGAGTGACTAGATACTTAGCAAAGTCACCCTGTGACGAAGTACTGACTCATAGACCAGCCAGTGGATCTGAGAAGAAAATAACCAATGTAGAAGAAGCCGCCAAACGTGACAACGTAGTAATACTGGGCGGCTTGTGATCCTCATCCCTCTTCTTCAGGTACCATTTCAAATCCCCAAATGGTGGGTTTTTCACCATTTCCTCTCTTAGATTTCTACTTCCACCGCACCACATCTCCCATTTTCCTTCTATCCCTGCCCACTCTAAGTCCTCCTTCAACACTTCCTTCCATGCCATCATGATGTTCAGGCACCATTTCCTCTACAAAGCTTTCCTTCAAGCTGATCTTACATCTACTTCCTTCCCTCTAGACAACAGTAGGTCACATGTGTGTCGTGTGTCTCCCAGTCTCCTAACACTACCAGTCTTACTGACACCACACCTAAGAATCAAGGCCTGGCTAACACACAAAATCACGGCCTATCTCATCACGTGTCTGAATACCCCAAGGTCTGAGTGTGTGCTGTGCAGATAAACATCAGATAAGAGGGAGTGTGGGGGTCTGTATGTATGAATTGAGCACAGTTGGATTATAGCACTGAAACCTAAGAACGAGAGCCCATTCGTAACTTTTTTTTTGAGGTAACAATGGTTAACAAACACTATATATGATTTTTGGATATAGCATCACCTCTCTTTTCACAACCACCACCAAAGTACCCATGATCCTGCACCGTAAGCCACTGGGTTCCCTGTCCTTATCTCCCCCTCCTACCCTTCTCCTCTAGTAGCCTCAATTACTCAAGTCTAGGGTTTGCTTTGGTTTACTTTCATAAGAGCAGGAATTTGATGTCAGGTGAACTTACACCTTTGACCTTGGGATCAAAGAGGAAAGGTCCCAAAGCAGAACCAATATGTCTCAACCGATGGGAATATATCTCAAAATGCACGAAGGTGGGTCAGCACCAACAACAGGGCCACTTGTTACATTATCACCGCAATACTATAGCAGCACACTACTGAAGTCATAATAGAAGTGGCAGCCACATTTTAAAGTCCCAACTATGGCATGCGTCTAGGTCAAAAGACAAGTTTCTACTATGCACATATTTCTAATTTCGACATGTATATCTGAATTATACAATCCACACTTTGACTGATTCAGAATGACCTTCATGATAATCTGTTTCTATAAAGTAGCCATCTCTCATTAGGTAACAGTTGGGACATTTTATCTTCTCAGTAATGTGGCAGGAGAATATGACCTTCTTGCTTCAATATGTTATTGTTACACTAGATACAAAATATATTCTCTTGTTAAACTTTAATAAGATTCTGGAAGGTTTACTCCTAGGGGAACAGAGATCTTCTGTGACAAAACAATCCTAAGAAAGGAGATACAATTCAGTTATCTCTGCTGTAAACTGAGTTAGATGTGGTCCCAGGCACTCAACTTTGAAATGAAGAGAGAAGCTATAGCTTACAAATGCAGTATGTGAAGCCAGCATTAAATATAAAAGCTACGCACATACAGGTCATTTTATTCTTTTACTCAAACTATGCCTTAAGAATAAAACACACAGTAGTAGTAAAGGCATCAAGTAGAAAAGCTAGCTGGAGTTTGCGTGCTCACACTATGTATGCCAGTTACAACCATGAATTATTTCTTCTAATAATCATACTATGGCACATGCTACTCCCATCTTATAGGTAAGGAATCAAGTTGAGAAACCAAAGTCACAACTATAAGAATAGCAGAGTAGGATTGCAACCATAGTTGCAGGATGCTGGGCTCCGTCCATGACCACACTCTACACAATGATTGTGTCTTCCAAAACCTGAATCAGAAGCACATTTTGGGAAGTGGGAAGACCGCAAGGACTGTCCACATTACAAATAAATCAGAGGCCTAAGGGAAAGCTGATAGGATAATGCTGCCACTATCCACCCTTAAAAGCTTTTAAAAGTTGTTGGAAAATAAGGCCATAGGGCAAATTAGAAAATATAAACTGAGTCAGGCAGAGTCCTTGATTTAGAACCACACTGCTTGTGTCCTGGTTTGTGCTACACACTGGGTCTTGGGTCTCATATTATAAGATTGTTATTATAAAATATATCTCACTCTTTTGTTATCACTAGAACAGTGAGAATATAGAAGAATGTACGTAGCACTGTGCTTGGCAGAAAAGCGATTTTACAATTTTTGCCCTTCTTTCCTTCAGTTCTCATTTGAAAATAAAAGCAAAGACCTGCTCATCTATACATAAGAACACCTTCTCCCCTCCTTCACTACCAACACGTCCAATAACAGAGAAACACCTTTCAAGGCACATCTCTCTGCAGTTCCTGTGAGAAGAGTTTTTCTACCACTCATTATCCGCCCTCTATTCACAGTACATGCAACTTTTCAGACAAGGCAAACTATTATTTCATGCTTTAAATGTATATAGGACCCATGAGATAGTATCAAAGTTTACCACCCAGGTTAGAAGAAATAAAGATTAAGTAATCCAAGACAATTTAAAGCAAGCAGCGTAGTAACATGCAAGCACAGTATCTGATCAGCAACTAAAGGATATATTTGACTCTAAGCCTGTTTCCAATCCTCTCTGACTACACCAACCACAAAGTAAAAACGGCATCGCATAGCATACGAAGCATCCAGACTTTTTTCCATGAAATACATTTATAGAGGAATAAAAACCCCCCTAAGATGTGATGGTGGGACAGGTAAATCTTTTATATGTATCTGCCATGAAGAGCCTTGATAAAACCCTGGCTTGAATCAGATTTGCATGCTTAACAAGTAAAATGTTCTGAGTAAAGCTAAGAAGTTTTCATTTTCAGAAAAAAAAAAAAAACTGATTTGAAAGTAAAATGTCTTTAGTGGAAAGTAGTGAGATAACTTGCTCTGCCATTAAGAATGTCAAAGTTCCAACCCATAAAAATGGCCTCGTTTTCTTACAGACTGGGCTCTCTCAATCACAGGCCACCTTGGTCCTGTAATTTCTTCCAAGGTGTGAAGAACATGGCCCTTCAACAGCTACAGAGAACGCTGCTAAACAACCTCCTCCAATCTTGTCAGCACTCAAAGGGCAAATCACAAACTCGCTTCCTAAGCCAGAAAGCAAATGGTCCTCCAGCGAAACTGAAGGCACACCCACAAGAAAACTACCAGGTTTCACTTCTTTTGCTTCATGTTTAAAGAAGATTAATAAAAAATAATCAAGAGAACACACGTGTTCTTCCGTGCACGCTCAAATATGTACATATATAATCCCTCCATTTTCTTTAAGTTTGAGAGATGCAAATAAACATGCTCGCTTGAAAGGCATTAGGAACTCGTTTTAGACGGCTGGGTTTTAGAAGTCAGGCGGAGAGATGAAAAGAGCCAAGTTCGGAAGAGTTGTTAATTCCTGCAAGGTAAAGCAATCATGCGTATCTGTTTTCTAACAATAAAGGCGTTCGGCATGCACACGATGCACAGCGATGCGAGCCACGGGAACCAGGCACGATGCAGCCGGTGGTGTCGAGTCACAAAGCCGGCTCCAGCAGCGCGCGAGCCGGTAGTCCCGGGCTTGTCGCTGCCTCTCAAATCGCATCCGGTCCCAGGTCTCAACACCCACGAACTCGGGACCAGAGGGCGGGAGGGCGAGCCGCGAGAGGGAAGAAGACAAACGCTGGGCACCCCTCGCGGAAGGCGAAGCAGGGGAGAAAGTGAGGCGAGACAGCGGGAGCGCGGACTGGACGCGCCGCGGGGAAGGAAAGGTGGGGGTGGAAAGGGGCGAGGTGGCACAGGCACAGAAAGTCGGCTGCCGCTCAGGCCCAGGGACACCCGGGGACTGCGGATGGGCCAGCGCTTGGCGACCCACAGGAGGAAGCCTCGGGGGCCAGCGGGACATGGAAGCGCGCGTGCCAGACCCGAGGTGCGCGTGGCCCGGGTGGGGGAGCAGGGCGCATCCGTCACCTGTATTGTTTGAAAAGCTGGTCCGACTCCCTGAAGCCGTTGTTGAGCAGCATGTTGATGCCGGCCAGGGCCAGCTCCGCGTCCTGCAGGGGCGCCGCGGCGGCCGAGTCTCCGTCGTCCCGCCGCCGCGGCCGCTGCTGCTCGGAGCCCGCCATGGGCGCGCGAAGCTGCGCGCAGGGCCGAGGCGAAGTCGGAGGCAGCTGCTGCGGCCCCCGCGCGCCCGGAGCCCGGCTCTACCGGCCCTGAGCGCGGCGGAGCGGGGCGGCGGGGGCAGGGCGGGAGGGCGGAGCCGCGGCCCGGCTGCAGCGCGGCGGGGGATTACTCAGCAGCCGCCCGCCCGCCCGCCGGCGAGCTCGCTCCTCCCGCTCCCTGCGAGACGCCCGGCTGGCGCGGGCACCGGAGCGGAATCTGTTTCCGGGTGTCTCTAACCTCGCCGAGCCGGGGCCGGAGCGGCCGCGCCCCTGCTTCCTGCAGCCCCTGCTTCCTGCAGCCCCCGCGCACCGCCCTCACCGCCCCCCGCCCCGGCCCGGGTCCCCACGCGGCGCCCCGCGCCCACCGCCCGGGGCCAGCGCTGCCGAGGCGGCTCTGACGCCAGCGAGGCCCCGGGGCTCGGAGCTGCGCCCTCCCTCCCCCTGGGCCGGACCGGGGGTCCCGGCAAGTCGGGGGGCGCCACGGGATGTGGTGCGGGTTGGGAAGGCAAAGTGGATTTGAAAAGAGGACGAGGAACTCCCCGAGCCCCAGCCACAGCGCGCGCTCGGCGCTTTTGACCCGAGTGCTGGGAAGCCCGCGGGGCCGGCGCCCGGGACCCCGGATTCCATCCCGACCCTCAGGCCGCCCACTAGGCCCCAGGCGGCTAATCCGCGAGGAGGTGGGCGGCGGGGGCGGGGCCTGCAGGCACCTGCAGTGCCCGTGCGGGGCCAGGCGGCCAGCCAGCTCCCCGGAGCCCCTCGCTCAGGACTGGGAAGGGAGAGCGCCTGGCCTCTTCCCAGACTGCTGGGGATCCTGGTCCCCAGCAATCTTTGCATGATGGGATGAGGGAGGCCCATGTGGCCTATACATAAACATAAATATTTAGAAGTTATAAATTAAGCTGTTAAAGTGCATTGCATTCTCATCTGACAATTATAATTTAATACCAATGCAACCGAAAAAAAGGTATAAAGCTATAGTTTTTATAGGACCCAAATCAGCAAAATGTCAAAAATGACTATGATTGTTTTGGTGGTATTTCTGGTTGGGTGAAATTATATTATTTTTCTAGGCTTTGTTTTAGCAAAATCACTGAAAGTGTTTCAATCAAGATTATGTTTTCAGAGTCAAATTAGAGTGTGTGTATTGTTTTCAATTTGGAGAAACTGCTCTGATGAAGCATTTACAACTGAATTTTTTTTAATTAAAGCAATAGTCCGCTTTAGTGATAACCAATGTGTGAGCCTTCTAATGGGATCAATATAATTATCATAGAAAGTGCTATAAAATGCTTTCATTATATAAGTTGCTATCAATTATTTCATGATTTAGACCATTCCTTGTCTCAATCCAGATGGTGTTGCCAACATTTATATATACACATTTAAGAGTAATGTGAATTGCTGTTACTCAGCTGTCATGTGTAACTGTTACAAAACCATGTTAATTTTTGCATATATCTAGAGCCACAAATTGGAACACCAAAAGAAGCAAGAAAATGATGATTCTCATTCCTGGGAAGCAATGTTCTGTACTGCAGGAATCATTATATTTATGCGATCCTGGAGGGAATGGACAAATTAACCCATGTTTTATCTAAGCAATCTTGGAATTTTAAAGTGTTAGTCTCAAACAGCTGCATTGCCACAGACTTTCCTAGCATTCAGAGGCTGTATGTTTTAGGACACTGGGCAAGAGATAAGCATTTCCATGGGGCCTGAATAGTGTCCCATGGATGAATGGTCACAGGATGGATAGTGAGGGTTCCGGGTTCCACTGTCAGCATTGAATGTCAGATACCAAGTGACAGGGTACCCTCCCATGTGTTCTCTAATTTACGAGTGTGCATGTTTTCATGGAAAAGGCCCTCTAAAGCAGGTCTTTGATGCTATACTGGCCATGGGGCTTGCATTGGACTTTTCCCAGGGAGGGACTCCTGGCCATTTCCAGTGGTAGTAGGGGCTTGCAACATCCTTAGCTCTAACAGTGTGCCTGAACTTTAAATGTGTGGAATCATTCACCCCCAAATCTCTGAAACAATCAACCAGGAAGGGAAGCCAAGAGAGTAATACCAAACTAAACTAGTAGCTTGTACTCCCCCACCACGAGAAAGCAGCTAGCACAGTTCTTTAAGTCCTCACTACTGAGGAAAGGAAAAAAGGACGCATGGCCCGTGGCACTATTAATATGTTTTTTTTTTTTTTAAGATTTATTTATTTTTACAAGAACTGGGGTATAGGCCAGTTGTGCGGGAGGGTGAGAGGATTCACCAGAGACAGAGCAGGGAACAGAACAGGCAGACTGAACAAAATATCCGGCTTAGGGGAGCAGTGGGCATGACAGGAGAGGTCTGCTGTGCCATGCGGGATTTTCGCTGGCTAGCCAGGATTGAACCCATGGTGCAGAGGCTGCAGAGAGCTTCACAGTGCGGCGCTCAACCGCCTATGCCACCAGGAAGGCCCAATTATTAATATGTTGTACCTGCAGCTGAGGGTGTGGGGAGGGGTTAAGAAAATAAAACAATCCATCAGGCTAGTTCTGTCTCAAGAACCTTGCACAATCGGGCATGCAGACTTAGAGAAATATAACTTCAACAATTGGGTCAATGCAACTGCTTAGCACCCCACAATAGGTTAGGGAGGGGTAATATGGATAGAGGATAACTCTGCCAAGTAACACACAGAAGATATGTGCCAAGTGGCATTTAAACAGATACCAAAACAATTAGATTAAGCAGCAGCAGCTTGAATGTACATTTTCAAATATTTGCTCTGTGATGAGGGACACAAAGAGAATTCAAAATGTGCCCCACACAAAAAAAATGTGCCCCACAATCCTGAAAGGAGACAACACCTGAGCCAGTGATTATAACAGCCGTACACTGGCTGGAGGTTCACCTAGCAGGTGGGGAATTAGGTTGATTTTGTTTTCTTAACTAGATAATAGCAGCTACTGATGAATATTTAAGAAGGCATAGTGTATATTTAACAAAAGAACAGCAAACTTGTTATGAAAGCCTAGATTATAGCACATTAGGGTACCATGCTCTAGAAATTTTGAGACTCATGACCTCCTTGCAGAATTAATGTAGGATTTGATGCACTTGGCTTAAGCCTAGTAGCACTAGTAGAAAGAGAATGGAGAGGAGGGGAGAGGAAAAGAAAAGCTATCAAGTGGAGAATGAGCCTATGTCCTTTCTAGACACTTCCTGTGGGGTATTGTCAGTATATTGTGTTTATTTATTTACTTATTTATTTATACAAGCACTGGGTACAGTCAGAAGTGCAGAAGGGTGAGAGAATTCACCAGAGCCAGAGTGGGGAACAGAACAGGCAGACTGACGAAATACACTGCTGAGGGGAGCAGCAGGCGGCAGGAGAGGTCTGCGTGCCATGTGGGACTGTTAGGGGGAAATGATGTCCTGAGTTAATCCCATACAGGCTTTGTGGACCCCACCCCCACTCCAGACTAAAGCCATCAAGACATTGGGAAAGACAAATCCCATCACCACCAAGGGAGGGTGGCTGGGACCTGAGGGTGGAGTTGGGTAGCCAGGCTGGATATAAAAACCAAACACGTGGGCCTTGGGCTCTCTGGCTCGCGATCACTTGGCTTCACCACTCCTGGCTGGCGGCCAACTCTGAGAACGCCATTTTGGGATTCCTGATCAGCGGATTGGGTAGGACTCATTTAAAACTTTGTCTCCCACTTTTCTCCCAGAGCTGTACATTTCCTCATTTCCCCTTCCCTTGTAAATAAACCTTTTATTAACCTTTCACGTGTGCCTGCAGTAGAACATTGATAAGTCCTTTTAAGCGCGTGGGTGAGGACCCATAGTCAGGCACCCCGTTTTGTATCGGGGTTGCTCTACAACAGGACCTTCGCCCAGGCGGCAGGGGATCGAACTGGTGCTGCGGAGGCTGCGGGCAGCTGCACAACCCAGTGCTCAACCGCTGCGCCACCAGGGAGGCCCCAGTATATTGTGTTTTTACATAGATTTCATTATGAAAATAAAACTCCAGGTCCAAATGATCAGTGGAATATTTTCGACATACGTATTATCCTTTCATGGTAGTGTTTGTTCTTTTCATAAGTTGTCTTGGTTGCAAGTAACAGAAAAACCTGATTCAAGGTGCCTCAGAGAAGCTAATGTACAGATTCATGAGGCGGATTTCCACAAATCGGGCTACACAAGGGCTGCGACATACTTGTAGTAACCAGTTTCTCTACCTTTCCCTCTGCCATCTTGGTGCTTGGAGGCTCTATTCTCAGGCAGACCCTCCTCTCCTAGTGCCCAAACAAATGCTGGAGCCCCTAGGGCTACCTGCTTGTCCCTTTGTGTCTATTTGCCCTTGTCCAGTGCTAGGGGAAAATTCCCTACTTGAATCTCATTGGGTTTGATTGGCCCCATTATTGTGCTAATTTTTGCTATAGGTGCTAGTTCTTGAAAAGATCAAAGTGGGAGGTGGGAGGAGGAAGAGTGCTTCATAGTGATTGGATTAAACGAATCAGAGCCTGCCCCAGGATCTGGAAGGGGAAGCCAATTCCAACGTCCATGGCTTGGAAATTTGAGGCCTATTAGGGAAAGTGAGGTAGGGAATGTGTAGCAGCAGAGTGGAACAGAGCAGGATTTCTATGATTGGAGCAGACCAGACCACTAAAGGAGAGTCCTGGCGCCCTGGGTGGGTTTCTCAGGCTTTTATTGAGCTTTTACATGTAGTGCAGCAACCAGGTACACAGCAGGAACGGGGGGGGCTGGGGTGGGGCAGGGGTGGGGGGGTGGCGGTTGGCCTGCAGGCCCCAAGCCCCCTGCAAGTCTTCACTCTGGCCTTCTCTGGTGTTCTTCCTCCCCTTCTCTCTCCTTTCTCCTGCCTCTGCTTCTCCTGGGGAATATCTCGATACTGCTGCGATAGCCCACAGAAGTAGACAACATAACTTATAACAATGTAACAAATGCAGGTGCCCC